GAGGATGCTTAAAACCATCCCATGCACAAAACCAGATGCACTGCTGGGTGATGTGAATGCAAGTGGAGTTAATGGAGCTGTTGTGTCAATTAAAAAGTAGCTATAGTGTATTGAATGCTGCCTTGCCTCTCTCCCTGTTTGGGCCTGGACCATGCCTTAGAGAGCAGAACATTTTAGCCATCCTACAGGCATCACAGGCAGTCAAATATTTTGAGAGAGAAGCAAATTTCCAGCATGACTTGCCTTGGAGCCAAGGGCTCTATAAGCAAATTCTGTACAACGAGATCTTCAGGAAAGCATAACGAGGTAAGCAGCTGGATTTCCATCAATACCATTTCTGAAACGAGAGTGCTGTACTGAGCTACGGCAAAGTGTTTCAGTCACGCTGCTGCAAAGGTTCACAGGAATAAACGCAAAGCGGACTGCGATGCTGGTGGCACAGGAGCTAAGCAGCAAGGCAAAGTCGCTAGCTGCCTGCAAATTTTTATATATATTTTATTATACATATGTATTTGTATACGTAAATATATATCTAAAAACAGGACAGCTCATGTCCCACAAAGTGCAGGGCTGAGCAAGGCCTGGTGTGTTTGTTCATCCCTGAGCAGCAGGGATGCTAGGCAGGTGCTAGATACTGTCATGGTGGGGTGGAGGTGTGTTGGGAAGTGGCATTTCAATACACTGCTGGAAACCTCTTCTTCCAAGCACAAAGGGAATGGCGTGCTCTATCCCAAAGATGTGCCCACAGAAATAGCTCCTAACATTTGGTTCTCCTATAAAAGTGCAAGGGTTCCGAAGACATCAGTAGATTCAAAGATGCTCTAATACCTAAGCCAGAATTTCTATAGTAAGACAATCTTATTTATACAGTATGCTGTTCTCAATATTACTAATTTTTCCCCGTTTCTTCCTTTGCTAATCTACTAAACTTGGTTTTTCCATGTTTCAGAGGAGAAGTGATCTATTCTCCTCCTTGATTTTTCAAAATAAAGCCAAATTTCAAGGTTTTGAAACTGCTCTTTCAGTTGGCTGGAGCCAGTGTGGGATTATTCCAGTAAGGAGGAATCACTAAAAAACCTAGACTGACTATCAACCTAGATTGACAGGGTATGATTATAGACACATCATAGATACATAAAGCATAGTCTTACAATTAACTTTAGAATTTAACTTGTCCTTCTCTTGCATTTGAGTAGTGTTTCAAAAAATCCCTTTTATTTATACACAGAGTATGAAATATTGCTTCTTTTAAAGCCTGGTGTCTGCTTGCACCTGTACCTCGCTCTTGCGCACAGAATCAGTTTGCTGACATTTAATAGCCAAGCTGCAGGCTTGTAGCAGCTTACAAGGCTGAGGGCACAGAGCTGCCCACTCCTTGGGGTCACTCTGTACCCCCACTGCTCCATCACCCACTCCCTCCCTCAATTACAGACAACCTGCAGCCCGAAGAACACACCATCTATCCCCCATGGCCACTCCCTTGTGCATCCATCCTAGCCCACTTCTCTTTCCCCTCCTTAGTGCAAAACTATCCCTGCTCCCACACAAGCAGCCTCTTCCAGGCCTGGGTGGGCAAAAGTACAGACAAGGACGATGGGAAAGAGCAACCTGATGTTCTCAAGAGGGCAGGGGAGCGTCCCTCCTACCCTGTGCGACAGAGATCCCACCAGCCTCTGCATAGTTATCACTGATAACTAGCCTGTCTCCAAATGCCTGTTTAACTCTGAAAGACTGACTCAGCTTTCCCTCTCATCTGAGATCATAGTTCCTTGGATCTTTGCATCTTTACAGTAGCCTCATGCAGCATGTGCCTTCAACATACCTGCTGTTGCACTTAGTGGTATGAAATCTCTGCTTCCCACAGAGTGGGTTAGTGTTTTGGCAAGACCTTCAAAAAAGATGGCCACTTCAGGTATTTATGATATTGAGGTAAAGTGACAAATCTTTTCCATCATACTGAACTATATTTCAAAAATATGGGTCAAACTTCACCATGTTCAACCATGAACATTTGGAAGTAGGTGCTTTACAGTGCTGTTGCAGGGTGGATGTTCATCAGACCCTTTACAGGTTCCCCTACACTGCCAGCGAAGAGGTTTGCTCTCCTTAGTCCTTGTAGCAGATGTCACACCCACGCACACGTTTCTTCACTTGCTTCAGTTTCTGCTTCTGCTCTACCACCTTTGCTAACTCCCAAAGGCAACTATTCTTACACCTACAATTGCATTCAGAGATGTCTTGGGCAACAGAAAAAGCATCAGGCTTTTGCTACTGACATCATTTGCAGAGTTTAATTAAGGGTAAAGGGAAGAGGTGGCTCTTAGGAGCCAAGATCTGGAACAGAAAAAATGGCAGAGCTGTCTGCTTTAAAATATGTATAGCCTCTCTCCTTCTGTAATCCCATCTCTGAAATTCTTATGTTGTCCTCTCATTACCACTCAGCGTCTGCCACTTCCCACACTGCTCAGAGCACTAGCAATATACCATACATGGAAGAAAGGTTTTCTCTTTTAATAAAATTTCTGATATATTTCATGTTTTAGAAGAGCTAGATCACTAACTCAGTGTATCATCTTTGTGTCACTGCCACTACTTCTACCACAGGAAGTTGCCATTGGCATTTCTAGGCATTAAGAGTTATTGGGACTTTTTTCCCCCATGCAGAATAAGTTGTCTGAGCAGGCAGCTCTAATTCTGGGGTGAGAGATGGGGAAGGAGGGGCAGGAGCAAAGATTCATGCCAAAAAGACAAAACAATGTCAACTGTGGCTACTGGACATTTAATGAACTAGATACTGTCACCCCCCAGTAAGTAGCACCTCATATTACCAAAGCCTCAAATGCATTCACAAAGCAAATCTTCTCCTCCTCCCCCCCAGCTACCGTTTTTGCTCTAGACTTCCCTGCTTGGTTTTTAAGGCAAGTGTCCAGCCTTTGCAGTTGCCTTACTAAATCTTAAGAATGAAGTTTGGGTAGCAGCCTGATTTTGCAACCAGCCTAAAATGCTATGGTGGTCCCCAGGATCTTAGAAGACAACAACAGTTTAGTTCTCACTACCCAGGCTTTCACCTGGGGAAACACCACCATCAATCCAGAAGCCCTCAACTCAAGCTACAGTACATTTTGAAAGGCAAACATTATAAAACACAGCTAAAAATCTCAAACAAAGCCAATTAAAATTAATGACAAATGAATGGGGAAGAGGAATAGGAGACACTGCTAACCCCAAACATTCAGAAAATGAGTCAGTTCTGAGGAACAAGTTTAGGATTTTTTGTTCAAACCTCTGCAGTAAGCTCAGTTCATGTTCTCCAGGTATCTTCCACTACCTAAGGCACCCAAGGCTTAAGGGGGAGCTACAAAAGTCTCATATGACCAGAGATGCCAGCTTCTAAAGAAGCAAGCACACAGAACAGCAAGAGCTTAGGTAAGGGACATACCAGCTGTCTGAAACCTGTCCTCCCCTCGTGAAAAACGCAGGGGAAGGAGACAGTTTCTTCCACCCACAGATGGAAGCCCTCCTCCCCACCCACTCTTCTCTATAGCTTGTACTGAGAAGTGGTTAGTCATAGCAGGACACAGATGCGTTCATGCCTGGATGATGAAACTCGGATGATAACAAGAACATGTTCTTGTCTGCAGGCCAGGAGACAACCACTCGTTTTCCTTGCAAGCCAGATTTTTTAACTCCTTTGTGATGGGGAGAACATGAGTCACTTTTGTTTAGCCTTACTCAGCATCCTGGGGAAATACACTGGTTTTACTTCCCACAGTGCACAAGCTGCTTGCTCTTCCACCAAGTTTGCGTTCTGTCCAGGCTTCTATTTCCTTACAGGTTACCAAATACCACACACACCACAGGCTTGCACAGAGCTGTTGGCCATAAGATCTACAGAAAACTAACAAGAACAAGGACCAAGGGTTGTGGACATGCATGAAGCTGATGCAGAAAAGCAATGACTGCATGGCGGGGGCATGTACCTGGCAAACAAAAAGCTCTCACACTGAGGTTTGGCCCCTTGAAACATGTAACATTGCAAACATTTGTAGTTCATCATGGTAACACATAGCACATAGGAAGGATGGGCAAAACCATGATGAGTCTTTCTGGGGGTGCAGTTACTGACCTTGTTCAGGTCTTCATACTCAAATAGTGAGAAAACACAGCGATTTGCTGAGCCTTACAGATTTCTAATCCAGAACACCCTGACCCAACAGGGCACTCATCCTAAGGCTGAAGTATAAAATCAACTTTTCCAAGGCCAAACTTGATAGATTCAGAATACCAACATAGTAGCAAGTAAAAAAACCAAATTAATAATAAAACCTCTTAAGCAATGGCACTCCCCTACTGGTTGCACAACTTGGAAATGTCTTTGAAATCCAATTCAAGATTCAAACCTTACCAGAATGTGATCAAGTCGTTTCAGTGTTTTGTTTTTTATAAAGTACTTCAAAGCAGCCCTTGGCATTCAGTACTGCTTCATCACTTCATTTTGTTACTAAATCAAGGTAGTCTCTAGTTAGTCACCTCATACCAGAAAGACTTTAATGTACTAAACTGTATGAAACGTTTTCTCCTCCTTTCATACTACCGTAAGGTGAACCATAGCACAAGAAATTCCTGTAGCATCGTAGCTGTGCTAGCTCTCAATAAGCTTTTGAACAATACCTCATAGGAAAGAAATCAGGACCAGTATTATAAATCTTCACAGTTCCAATATTATTCTAGTTTAAGGAGATGAAGAGCTTTAATGAAGCCTCCTGAGGTGTTATAGGTCAAACTAGAGAATTCTCCTCTCCCTCTCCCCACTTTACGTGTGGCTTTGTGCTCAGTCTAGCTTTGTATGGATCTCTTCTGTACTGCTTAAAGATCAGCAAAAGTCATTACCATGTGCAGCAGACCCAGCAATCAGTGTCAGGACCTATACACATTTTTCCTCTCTCAAAGTATATTATTTTGCTCAACATCTCAATGATCATGAAGCTGGCAACAAGATATTTACTTTGATCAAGGTGTTTATTGCATCTCAAAGGGCACACATGCACTGGGGTTTTTTGTTTTTTGTTTTTTTAAACTGAAATACAAAGAAGAGCCATTTTGAAATTAGCTTTTTATAGAACTTTCCCATTATGGTGTATGTCACCCCCACAGCAAATTCAGATACAACCACTTTTAATGGTACCATACATTGATTAAATAGTTCATTTGAAAGACTTTAGGTGAATATCTTTCCAACCCAATATGCTTTTACAGAGAACTGCCAAGCCACTTGTAACACTGATCAACAGTGACCTCACTGAAGAGTCAAGATCTTACACCAAGCCATCAGCAGAAACAGTATGAGAACAAATAAAAATCAAAGAAACACAGTATGTACAGTAAAGGGCATGGATCTCTGGATCAGAATTAAATCTAATCACCAATAGTACAAAAGCTACTCACAGCGCATTCGGGGCAATGGAGAAAACACTAGCCTAAGGCATACACAGGTAAGCACTAAATTAAGAGATGTACGTAAGAACTGAACAGAGATGAGTAACATCACTTGTAATGTTTTGACTACGGATATACCAAAGAGTGCTCTCATATTTGAAATCCCTTAATGCCAGCACAACTATGGTTGCTTTTTCCAACTACATTGAGAGAAACTGACTCTTTACTTATTTTCAGTGCATTTAGCAAGAACTGATAAATATGCCAATTTTAAATGCAAAAACTTAAATAATTAAAATAGATTTTAAAATAAAAACAGCAATAAATATGGTATTCTTTCAGATATGATTTTTCATTCTTGGTAAATCATCAAAAAAGTATTTGTTATGGAAGTTTACCTTTATATTACTTTAAGTTACCTTAACATATACAGTGCCACAAAAATAAAACATTTTTCCACAACAATTGAGATTCTTGTGACTGGGGGCGGGGGGGGAAATGTATTCCACACAATTTCATAAGTATTTTCCTTACTATCTGGTATTATCACACTATGTTTCATAACAGATAAAGGAGGAATTGAGTCTTAGGGAAATTTTAGGTGTCCTCAAAAAGTTATATACATTGAAACCTTCAAAAACCACAGACATCGCTCCAAATGGCTCACCAAACAACAGCTGCGTAGTCTGCCCCTGTGGGATAGGTTCAGAAAAGCACTAGAAGGCATCAGAAACATACATCCATTGTTTAAATTGTAAAACACAACTAACCCAAGTACACAAATTTCGAGAGAGTAGGGATAACAGCTAAGGTAGTACACATTCCTAATGTTCACTTTCACAGCTGTGCTACACGTTTCAGGAGAAAGAGAAAGTCTGAGTAAGCGCTGGGTTTGGTACTGGTGGCTCACTTTGAAACTCTGAGCATCTGTTTGTAGACTCCAGACTCACGTTTTTATCATCCAGTCAGAAAAACTGCAGCTGTGAAAACAGAAAAGTATTAGATGAAAACTGGAATAATGAATTAGATAAGAGCACATTCTAGAAAAAACACCAATCTGCTCATCACTTCACACCTCAAAGAAGTTAGTTTTTAGTGAAGCAGCAGTCTTCCCACAGACAGTTATGAATCTGTCTACTACAAACCCAAGTCAAAAGCAGTGAGTCCTAGCAATGAAGGTGCATCTCCACTCCTGGCCATCTCCACCAAGCCCCAGTTATACCTCCCTGGGGCTGGAATTTGGAGATGGTGGAAGTGGGACTGAGTGATGTCTGCTAAGAGCAGCCTGATCCCATCCACTGCTGCTAACTCCAGTGTAGAGGAAGCTTAGAACAAGACTTAGAATTAAGCTCTAGGTAGAAAGAAAAGGGACTTATGAAGAACGCTTTGAAGATATGTAATGATATCTCCTCACTTGGCAAATTATTCTAGTCTTAATTATAAAATGCCTACCGTACTTCTGCATTATTATTTTTTAATTGGCTTAAGTGTTCAACTCAATCTGATGTTTCTACTTGGCCTTCTTCACATCCTTCTCCAAAACCCTCACAGTGATGTTTTTGCCTTTTTTTCCTTCCATTCTGCAGTACTGTTTTTTTGCTTCTCCTCTGTTTTTTCTTTTTATTTACTTCTCTGTTCTTCCCCACTGTTTTTCTACATGGCACTGCTCAGGACATCATGTCTTAGCATTCAGAAAAGCAGTACTTTGAAAAATTGTATGGTGGGGGAGAACATTAGCTGGCAGCAGTTAAGAGATGCAAACAACCTTCCCTTGATCAGGATATGTAAGTTTTTCCTCTTTTGATACCTTCACACCTATGATACCAAATCTGTTTCCACACCCACAAGACTGGAACAAGCCTCTTCAGCACCATTTTACCCTCAGTATTTGTACCCTGTTATGATTCTATTTGACTCAGTATTAATTTTGGGGGGAAAAAAGAAAAAAACATGAACGCTTGGATTGAATGGAAACAAGGCAAAAGTGGAAGTTATAGATTGAAGATAACTTTTCCTGGCAGTCACTTTTGGCAAAAAAAGTAGCCAAAAGTCAAGCTTTCAGGCTAAAATTAAGATAAGAGTGTGGACAGAGAATTTGGGTTTCTGTTTAAACCACCACATTATCAGTGCATGTTTCTACCTATCTCTGCACCTACAATTTTATCAGTCATATTCAATCTACCAGCCTAATCAACATCTGTGTGCCAGACATGTACCACAGTGTAACATGCTTAGGCAGGCAGTCACAGAATACCTTATCGTTTACAAGAAATCCTTGATGTTAAGATCCGCTAATGGGTCCTTTGTTGGAGGTTTCTTGGGACTCTGAGTAGCAGGAGTTGGGCTTGGAGAAAGCTAACAGACATCAGCCAGGAAGGCAGAAAAAAACAAAGCAGACAAGGATACACAAGCATTAGGTAGATATAGCTGGTTCTCACACAAGCACATTGCAAACATACAAAGTTCTAAATTTTCTTTAAGTTCAGTGTGTTGCCATTTTGCTCAAGCATTGTTTAGATTCCATTCTTACTACAGGGCTAACAATGTTTGGCTGGTTTAATGGACACTGCTACTGAAACTGCATATTCTAAATTAGCATAGCTTCAAATCTCTCCCTGTAACACAGAATGGTGTTAGGATCATCAACCCAGACAGAAGTTAAGCAATTGTTAGATGTTAAACACCAAGGCGCAGAATAAGCAGAGTGCGTGCTGCAGAGTACGTCTGAAAATCCCAGTGACTGGCATTTAAGTACAAGTTGTTCTACATTGGTAGTGTAAATAAGAGCCCAAAGTGTACCAGATACTCTGTTCCTCCTCTGGTAGGTATAAAAGTCAATTATTCCACAGAAAGTGTCAGTTTTTCAAGTTCCATGCAACCCTTTTCACTATGGAGCCAAATAATTCTCCCATCCTGACCTTACTCCCCCTGCCTCCACCTTAATCAGGGAACCAGATTTTGCACTGAAAGGAACCCAGCAAGCTACCACTCTAAACCAGTTAAACTTGCATTCACTGAGAAACAGCTGTCATCCAGGAACTTGAGACCTTAACTTGTTCATAAGCAGAAGGTCAGTTTTCTGAAGAACCCTCTTAGTGGGCTGGGAGGGAAGATGCAGAGTGCAGCTCTAGTAAATGTTGACAAGCTCTGAACAGAATAGGAATGCCCATCAACTCCACTTTAAGCTTTACTCAAATCTCCCGCAAAAACAGATCTTGGAAGTAGTTAGATGTAGGAAACTTTTCCAACCTGTTTCACTGGTCTTGTACAAGGGAATTGAAAAAAATCAAGATGGTTCATGTGATCTGTTGCAAGTCAACAGTTGGCTTGGACGGGTGTACTCTTTGCTGGGTAAAAAACTGGCTGGACGGCCAGGCCCAAAGAGTTGTGGTGAATTGAGTTAAATCCAGTTGGCGGTCAGTCAAAAGCGGTGTTCCCCAGGGCTCAGTTTTGGGGCCGGTCCTGTTCAATATCTTTATCAACGATCTGGACGAGGGGATCGAGTGCTCCCTCAGTAAGTTTGCAGATGACACCAAGTTGGGCGGGAGCGTTGATCTGCTCGAGGGTAGGAAGGCTCTGCAGAGGGACCTGGACAGGCTGGATCTATGAGGTTCAACATGGCCAAGTGCCGGGTCCTGCACTTGGATCACAACCGCCCCATGCAAGGCTACAGGCTTGGGGAAG